CTTTGTGCATATTTTCCCACACTGCGAATAGTTAGAGTGTTTTGTCAGATTCCCCCTCCCGCACGTGGCCACAAGAAAAGTGCGATCGTCTGAACTTAGCGTTAATGCAGATGTTACGATTGGTCGACTATCTAGTCTGGGCGAGCACTACTTTCACGGCATCAGAGGATCTCGGCAGTCTAGAGTCGGTCGTTAGGGTGATCGGGTAGGTCTGTGAGCATTGAGTGTAGCGCTGGGGAGTTGCTGTCAGATTGGACGCTAATGCGGTTGAGGAGCTCTGCAGGGCTGGGGCTGCCCAGAGGCCGGATATGGTCAATCAGAGCCTCTCTCGAGTCGTCACTCGTCTGCGTGCTGTCAAATGCCGATCGTCGGGGGTAAGTATGACGTTGCTACTACTTCGTGGTCTTCATGGGTGTATTATGCTGTTCTTTGTTGTTCATGGGTGTATTGGAGTTTCACCCGTTTTACGTGAAGTGGCGTAAAACTCGGTGAAAACGCGATATTCGCGTTATGCAGTAGTCGTGGAATATGTTTCTCACTAGTGTTTTTTCATATCACGGCCTGTGAAACTCCATTATTCTGTCCTGTTATGTTCATGGGTGTATTATACTGTCATCTGTTGTTCATGGGTGTATTATACTGTCCTGTGTTGTTCACGGGTGTATTATACTGTCCTGTTATGTTCACGGGTGTATTATACTGCCCTGTGTTGTTCACGGGTGTATTATACTGTCCTGTTATGTTCACGAGTGTATTATACGGCCCTGTGTTGTTCACTGGTGTATTATACTGTCCCGTTATGTTCACGGGTGTATTATACTGTCCCGTTATGTTCACGGGTGTATTATACTGCCCTGTGTTGTTCACGGGTGTATTATACTAGCAATATAATATCGCTTTATGATTTCCGCGGTTGCATGCTACTGTTGGTGATTCAGATGCGACTGGCTGTCACCGAGCTACGGTCACACCTGTTGAGCATTCAGAACGACGGTGTCTTTCGGCGGTCTCAACCATCGAGTAAGAGTCGATCACGAGATGACCGATAGCAATTTTCTCCTTTTCAGCCGCTCCTTTGCCGTCCTGGAACAACCCCGGAAACGCCAAGTCACCTTTGATGAGTGGATCGTTGAGGAGCTCACTGGGTTAGAATATGGCATGTCCTGAGTCGTGAAGTTCGCCTGATTTGATCACCGACCATTACTCCAGTTTACTGTGTCCAGAGTACCATTGGGTAGTTTGTATCTCCTTTGGGTGTGAGATGTGGTTGTGTTACTAGTTTGGTCTATAGTCGTTGAAACTGCAACTTTGAAGTGATGCATTCGCACATCTAGCTGAGGAAACCCTAGAGCAGGGCCGTGGGCTAATACAGCGGAAGATGCGATAGATATCTCATCTATTTCCGGGAGCTTTTTCGTCGCGCAAAAGTGATTGTAATTGTGGTTGAAAATCATGTGTGACCGAACGATTATCTGGTTCGGCCTACTGACACAAGATGAGGCATCTCGAGTGATTGCAAGATACTC